GGCTTCTTCAAAAGTCCTATGAAGATATGGAGAACCTTTATAATTGATAAGACTTGAGAAAGTTGGTTTTAGTGGTCTTTATTGAAACATATAATTTTTAATAAAATTCACTTTATTACTTTCAAATGTAAGCCATATTTTAAAACGGGTAAAAATGCAAAGAAATACAATTATATTTGTCCCTTTAACTGTCTATTAAAATTTAAAATGCACCTATTTCATTTTCCAGGTCCATGTCTAGTAGTCTCTCCTTCATGTGTACTGACAGAAGCACACAGAAACATATGAAAGAATGTTTGTTGCAACATTATAACAGCAAAAAAAGATTATCTAAATGTCCATTAGTACAGGACTGTATGAATTATGGTTTACCCCTATAATGTAATATTTTGCCATCATAAAAAAATAAGGTATTGACATAGAAAGATGCCAAGCTTACCTTAAGGAAAAAAAATCAAGTAGCCAAACAGTGTGCATAGTGTAAAACCAATTGTACACTGAAAAGAATATATGTGTTATTCTGTCAGTATACAGTTTTATTTTTCACCATCTGCCCTCTCAATTCCTAGAAATTCCTCGTGTGTATTATTTTAAAACAATTATGTAAAAAATCTATTAAATTTATTTATATTAAAATTGAATAATGGTTATATAAATTAAGGAAGCCCTTTAACATTAAAGCCTCTACCTTGGACTAAAAAATATTTCCAGGCAGGTTAAAGGAAAAAAAACAAACAAACAAAACTTCATTACTTCATTAACTTCAGTAACTTCATTACTTCATTACAAACTTCATTACTTCATTACTTAAATACTTACGGTAAATAATCCCTGAAAAATATCACAATACAAAAATGAACTTTCACCATTATTTATAAGAATTACTTATATCACCAGTTGAGAGGCTCAAAATTTGAATTATAGTAGCCCAAATTGAGATTTTTTTTCCCCCCTCATATTTATGCTTCTCTTGAAGTGTCATGGAAACATTTGATACTGATTTAACCACACTGAGCTCTTCATTTGCAGTGTTAGGCTTTTGTGCAGATGGCTCCTGATCATATGCTGTGTTTGGATTTACTCCTGTTTTTCAGAATCGGAATTTAGTGAAAGATTGTTTTCCATTATCTAATCATCTATTTAACTCTCCCCAAGATAATGGAGGTATGTTTTAAAAAATGAATTCTTTGTCCTTCTCATGATTTAATATGCTGTTTCCAGAGTTGTTTTTTTAAAAGAACACTTCAGTAATTTATAAAAATTCTTGTATGTTTTGCCACTCTCATATTTCCCCCACATTCAATGACTGTCAACTTCCATTGTTTCCTAATATGATATCATATTTCTTGCAGTTATCTTCTTTGCTTCTACTTCTCTCTGTTTCTACTTTCTTATCTTTGTTTCTACTATCTTTGTGTGTTACTGTTCCCTATGAGTCTTAGACTTCTGATAGGAGAAGGTCTGATTGGGTCAGTCACTGTCCAATATAGGGAAACACATAGTTCTCTCTCTATCCATGTCACCTCATTGACTGTTAATCTTTCATGTCTGGCCAATACAAAGCTGATACCTGGTATATCTGATATATCCAGAAGATCAGGGTCATCTGAATCATAATGTCCACTCATGCACTTAGAATCTAATCTGTGTACAGTTTGACAGTTCAACAGCCCAACAGAAGATATTTTAACTTCTGTTAAATTTACCCCAACCCTACTCAAAAAAAAAAAAAAATAGGTCACTGAATATGAAATGTCTGATTTCAAATCAGAAGTGTAGTTTATTATTAATATATCTCAAACAAGAAGCAATTCAGTTAATCCAAGTATGCGCCTAAACTATTGACACAGTTTTGCCATCTTAACAGTAGCTTGTTTATGCCAGCAGCAAAGAAGCCTGGAGAGCAAGTGGCTATGAAATCACAAAAGGCATTTTCCACAGCTTATTGAGTATTGAATATGTTTCCTTGCGAGAAGTGGTCCAAAACCTGGAAGAAGTGGTAGTCAGTTGGTGCAAGGTCTGGTAAATATGGTAGATGACAGAGAGTTTCCAAGTCCAGCCTCTGTAGTTTGAGTGTTGTTCGCGTGACATGTGGTCAAGCATTGTTTTGCAAGAGGATTGGCCTGTCTCTATTGACCAATCTCGGTTGCTTAATCATAAGCATCCTCATCATTTCATCCAACTGGTTGCAATAGACATCCACTGTAATCGATTGACCAGGTTTCATGAAGCTGTAGTGGGTAATACAGGCACTAGACCACCAAACAGACACCATTAGTTTTTTTTTGATGGATATTTAGTTTTAGACTGTGTTTTACCACTTAGTCTTTATCCAACCATTGTGCCAAAATCTTGCGATTGTCAAAAAGAATTTTCATCACATGTAACAATATAGTGTAGAAATGGTTCACCTTTGTGTCATGACAGCAAAGAAGGCAAGTTTTGAGATAACTTCTCTTCTGACGCTCATTTAATTCATGTGGAACCCATCTATCCAGCTTCTTTACCTTGCCCATTTGTTTCAAATGATCCAGTATTGTTGGAATAGTAACATCAAACCTTGCTGCTAATTCACATGTAGGTTGAGATGGATTCACTTCCACTACAGCTTTCAGCTCATCATTATCCACCTTGGTCTCAGATTACCTACATGGCTCATTTTCAAGATTAAAATCACTAGAAGGGAACTTCTCAAACCATCAATGTACTGTGTGTTCATTAGCCACATCCTTCCTAAGCATTTTGTTGCTATTTTGAGCTGTCTGCACTGCATTTATTGATTCCATGACGGAACTCATATTCGAAAATAACACGAATTTTTGACTTATTCATAGTTTCACAAAAATTGCTCTAAAACAATTTGACAGATAATTACAAGCCAAAATGTGTGTTTGTAAGACTGAGGATGTACCTTCACAATAAAAATAAAACAAAAAGTGTCAAGTGAAATGTAAGAGATAACTGTCAAACTTAGTACTTAAGGAAATCGGACATTTCATACTTAGTAACCTAGAATAGACTAGACTAGAATAGAACAAAACAGAATAGAATAAAATAATAAAATACATCTGCCTAGGGGAAAATTTAGATTTGCATTGCATAACCCAGAGGTCTAGGTTAGGCTTGTAAATAGTGTAGGGGAAAGGACACAGGCCTTGTGTTCACATAAAGTTTTCATCTCTACTTGTAAACTTGCCAGGTATGCAACCTTGGCTCTTAGAGATTGTGCCTCCTATGTAGAATAGGGATGGATAACAATATTTCTTTGTAGGATTGGTGTGAGGATTTAATGTGACCATGTATGTAAATTGAGTAGAACACCAGAGTAATTATAATAGCAGTGAGCATTTATTGAGTGCTTCCCAGGAGCCAAGTGTTAGTCTAAACCCCGTATGCCTATGAGCTCTTTTAATCCTCATAACAACCCTATGAGATAATTACCCCCATTTCGCAGATAAGGAAAATGAGACACAGGCAAGTTCTGTAACTTGCTTGGGATTATGCAGCTAGTAAAGGAAGGGGCCAAGAGCTCACGTGTCATTAACATTTATACTACAGTGACCCTTTCCATGAAGTCAATGCCCCATGTCCTGGTGTCCAGGACTTGTTTCTGCCCCCAAGTCCCCGCAGCCTTCTGGGTTCCATCCCATGTCCAACTCCAATGTGAAGTACCATCATATCTTCTCTTCCTCCATCAAATCTAACCACAATCCTCAGTTCACATCGTTCAGTGACTCCCCTGGGAATTTGGAGGGGTGGCATAGGTTAGGGATTACATTGTATACCATTTTACATGCTCTCTACCTCCTCCCCAAAGCTGAGATTCACCAGCTTCTGTGGGATTATCTCGTGAGGAGCAGCAGTTTTAGGCCCAGCTGCTTTCCTTGGAATTCTGGTGGAGAAAATGTCTTCGGCCCTTTTACATCTTCATGTCTTCCTGTTCTCTCCCCTCCGTTTGTGAAGTACTGAATATTTTAAGTAGGGTTAATCCTTAAGCCAAACTGAAGTAAGTAATATTTACCCCTTTAAACCACCCATTCTATCAGTCCTTCCTATTTCACTCTTTCACATCTCAGTGAGTCAATTTAATTAGATGCTTTCAGCTACTGAAGAAATAGAAGATTAGTGGGAGAATGGGAAAAGGCCATTTAAAGCAGAGCTTCTCAAACTTTAATGTGCACATGAATCACCTAGAGACCTTGTTAAAATGTAGATTCTGGTAGAGTAGGTCTGGAGTGGGGCCTGAGATTCTGCATTTCTAACAAGCTCCTGGTGATGCCATTGCTACTGGTCTGTGGACCACACTCTGAGTAGCAAGTATTAAAAGGTGACACCCTAAGATGGCAGAGGATTTACCCTATTTCCTTTTCCAGGCACATGTAATTAGAAAAAAAATAAAAAAAACACTGGGTCTCTCTTAGTAGGATTTAGTTAATGTGACTAGCCGCTAGAAGATACTTCATAATTTCAAACCCTACCTGAGGCTGCTTACCAGTAAAGCCATTCCTGGTTTGAAAAAGAATAGTATAAACTTGTCTATCTGACAGTCAAATTTTGATATAACACTGTAAAAATAGGCATTTCCCTCCATCAGTATAATTTAGGGATTTATATTCATTTTTACTCAGCTCTATGTGAGAGAGCATTGCTTTGCTGCTGCTCAAGATTGAGTCTCTTGTAACTAGGGAAATAGATGATTAAACTATTCTGGTGCAAGGACCACATGGCTGTTTCAGTATCTGTTTCCTTTGTTCCTCTAATATCACCTACATAAAAGGAAAGTTAAGTCAACTTTTATTTCCTTGCCTTTTGATTTGGATTCAGCTCAGTTGGGGTGTTTATGAATAATTCTGTTAGAAATGATTTGATAACGCTAATCTGAATAATGAAATATTGTTCAGAGCTTTAGATATGGAGGTGCAGTGTTAGCAGAAACCTCCTGTGAAATGATGTGGCTAATTCTGATGGCATAGGCTTACGTCCTCTATTTCTATTTTCAGGGAGGAGAGCACTGTTACTACCAGGGCCATATCCGAGGAAACCCTGCCTCATTTGTTGCATTGTCAACATGCCATGGACTTCAGTAAGTGTTTAAAAAATTATTTGTACCGTTCATTCTTTCAATAACTTACTTTCTTTATTTTTAATGCACTAGAATAGAAATCCCTATTTTGTGTCAAGAATAATTTTAAATCAGTGATGGATCTGATTTGTTTCTCTTTTATGTTTTATAAACCGAGAAGGATTTTTAAATTAGAGTTGCAGAAACCAGAAGCTTTGGAATTATAATATGATACCTTACAGTGATATTCGAAGCACTTTTCTAATTTCATCCAAATTTAGAAAGGAGTGGTTTGGATAACTTTGGCTTCTATTTCTGTGGATGTTTAGCCCCTTGATAACAGTTCTACTCCTACTTCTCCTTGATATTCATTTTTATAGTTTCTTAGAATAATAGAAATTTCAGTAGATGGAAACTCTTGACTTCTCGCAAAAGGACAAAAGGCTACAAGTGACCTTAAGAGCTCATGTGTTTTGGCCCTTTTAGTCAGCTGGAATCCCACCTAACTCACTGCAAATTTGTGGGAGGATCTGTCTGTTCTCAGAGATCTCCAAGGGACAGAGTTCATCTTTCCTTGGGGCCTTGTTTCCTTTCTCATAACCTTCACTATCAAAGAATGTTTGGTGACGTTTTACATGGGAATAGATTACTTCCTCTGTCTTGTCGATAATGGTGATACACAAGTGGCTGTCTCCTATTTGTTTTGTAACCTCTTATAAAGCTACTGTGTCATTCCTCAGCATTCTGTTTATTAACAGACTAAATCATCTCATTTCCTTGTTTGTTTTACTTTTTTGTCACAGAACAAACCAGCACTTAGTTTTGTTAAATTTTTGTTGGGAAACTTACATACTTCCTTTCTGTTACCAAGTTAGAGATGTATTTTTTCATTTAACAAGCAGTTATTCAGTGTCTGCCATTTGCCAGGCACTAGGAATATTAAGGCAATTTAAACATGAGTCTTGAGAGCTCTCAGTTTCATGCGGTGGGGGCAAATGTAGCTTAGCTTCCTGCTATGGGATGTGACAGGTATATTTGTTTTCTTTGAGAGAGAATAAAAAAATTGGGAAAAATGCAAGCTGAGCATTGGCACTGAAGAAGAGGTGCAACTTGAGAGCTTTCGAGATATGTCACCTAAAGAAGGTGGAGTACAACAGGCTTTGATAGAATTACCCAAGGGAGGGAGGTTAGATTGGCATATCTTAAATCTAGAAAAGAGATCTATTGGGAAAGACTGCCTAAGTGGCACCTCTGGCCAGGATCTGGGAGTAGGGATGTTAAGCAGAAAGGAGAAGTGTATAAAGATGAGTTATTTGATAAATAACCGGAGAAGGGAGGCCTAAGAGCATGGAAAACAACTTCCCTTTGCTTGTTATTTATTCTAAAAGACTATTTTACTTACTTTAAATAAATGTATAAATTTATTTATTTTAAATAAATTCCTTGAATACAGAGATTTTTGCAAATGTAGAATCCATGCTTAATATCTGACAACTCCTGTTTTATTAGGAAAAAGAAACATCGACATCCTTTTCAGCAGTAAAATTGTTATATCTGATCTCAAGACAAGCACAGCTGTCACCTAGGAATAGTACAGCTGTGTCCATTGACATTTATGACAGCAAATATATACTGGAAAGAAGAATGAGATAAAAAATAAGATTTATTTTTCTTCTTCTCTCTTTCTTTTAAAATCTCAATCCAAATTCAGAACGTGAGCATCTTGCTCAGTATTTGTCCCAATTCGCCTTCTGGTTTTCCAAATGGAATCAGTGTTGTGACAATCAGAGAGATGATATTATGCCTTGTAAGGGTTCTAATTGACCTGAGAACCTAAGAATGATACTTTGCTACTAATCCTAAGATAGTCATTTAAAGAAGGATGGAAAAATAACTTTTAGGAAATTTGTAGTAAATGGATCAGGAGTAGAACTCAGAATCCTGCCTCAGTTGTTTTAACTAAGTAAATTTTACTTTAAGAAACTTTTTAAAATTTAAACAAAAATAAACAAAATTTACTGTGTGTATAGGAACACTGTCAGAATTGTGTCAACTATTTTGGGCTTTCTTAGACTTTTATGAGCATATTGGGTAAGTAAATTCTCATACCTCTTATTATATTTTAATTCTCATCTTGATTTGACCTTCTGAACAAAAATTGCTGACAGAAATATTTTGGGGTATATTATTAAATAATTTATGTTGTCTCATTTACAGTGATTTAGATATGATATATATTATTTCACCCATGACTCATCCTTTATAAATTACCAAGTGTGTATTGAGGTTTTCTCTACTTTTTTGATTTATTGAATTCAATTGAAGGACATAAAAGGGTAAAAATTGGGTTCATATGTATTTTCTATAAAGAACCTGCAAAGGCACATTTCTTCAGATTCAAAGGACTAATAGGCAATATTTTTGTCCTGGTATGTTTGATGTTATGACAAAATCCTGTAACTATGGGAACCTTGAAGAATGGAATCAAATGTGAGTTTATTGCCCTCTTGTGGAAATGTGTGAGAATGGCTGTTTCTTTTCAAAATCTTGTTTTGATGCAGCCTTTTTAAATTTTAGCTCAATTGGTCTGTGATGACTTGGTTCTCGTTATAGGTTTTTATGAAGTACACATTGTGGACTCAATATATTATAATTTATATAAATATAACAAGTTGTCAATTCTCAAAGTAAATAAAGCATGTATTTTTTAATTATTAAGCAGTTAATAATGGCATATTATCATATAGCAATCCAGAGTCTTCCAAGGTGTAGATGGTGTCAGAATATGTTTTCTTTACACTGTGTACATGATGTTTAAATCCAATAAAAAGAAGTGATTTTCCCGTTGGACATTAACCTTACACAAGGGTGAATAACACTCAGTACTATTTAAACAAAAGAATCTGCTTGCTACTTTGTTGGTGTTGCCATGCGAACTTTGGTAAAGGTTTTATATGATTTTTCTGGATGAATCTGGCCCATTCTCAGCAGGGGTAGAGATAATGTTCACTGCCATATTTGGTCTACTGTTCTGAAAAGACCGTCCCCTCTGATTCCTTAGGCATATGCTATATTATCAGTAATATCTTACAAACTGCATCTGTTTATCTTTAAATTCCAAATGCAGTGTCATCCAAATTCAGAAAGCACATGTGCTTTAAAACTTTGCAGATGTGAGAATAGCCATTCTATGCATATATAAAAGTTGTGGACATGTGGAAGATGTTACACCAGGAATGAAAGAATTTGGATAGAGGCGGAACTGGAGGCCATTATAATTATAGCCCAGGGAAACCAACATTTCACTAAGGCATCGATGAAAGACAAATGCTATTCTGTGTCTAACAGCTTGGACTATCATGCAGTCATTTCTACCTAAAACTGAAAAATTACTGCAGAAAATCACACCTTTGCTCCCCTCAGATGCCTGAATGATAAGTTTCTTCAGCATTGTAAAGGGCCTGATCTCAGTAGAAGGATCATGTTGTCCTAAAAGGAGTGAGTATCAGGATTTCTCCAAGTGGGAGCCAAGGCCATCTGTAGCTTTAAATGCTCTCCAGAGGATTTCTCAGATGGCTGATAGCCACCTCCAGCCTCAGAGTCTAAAACTGAACTCTTGATTTGCGTCCTGCTCCCTGCACCCTGCTTCCCTGGGCCCATCTTGTTCAATGGCAACTGCATATTTTCAGCTGCTCAGGTCAAGACCTTGGCATCCTCATTGACTCTTCTCTTTCTTGCACATTCCATTTCAAATCCACCAACAAGTCCTGTTCGTTTTACTTTCAGAATGTATTTGAAATTTGACCAGTTCTCACTGCCTCCACCATAACCATTCTGATCTAAGCCACCATCTTCTTTTGCCTGGACTATTGCAGTAAACTCCCTGCTTCTATCTTTGTAGTCCTAAAGATTATTGTAACAGAGCAGCCGGGGTGATCATTTTAAAACTTAAGGGAGATTGTGTTTCCCCTCCACTTAGACTCTTGCAGTGGCTCCTCGTCTCTCTCAGAGCAAAAACCAAGGCCCTCAGGGTAGCCTACCTACCATGGCCCCCACTCTGCCCCTCACTGGCTCCACTCAACCCATACTGCCTTGTTGCTGTTCCTGGAGCACGCCAAGATTCTCTTACCTTGGGCTGTGTCTGAAATGCCGTTTGTGTGGATATTCTCATGGCTCATCTCTTTCTTTTTTCAGGTCTTTGCTTCCATATCATCATCTCTGTGAAGCCTTGCTCTGACCCTGTATAAATCAGTTCTCTTTGGTTCCCACACTCTGTCCTCTGACACCATTTATTGCCCTTAACCTACATTATTTTCGTCCCTAGAATTTATCACTGTCTAATATGTATTTACTTGTTTATTATATATTTATTATCTGTCGTCCCGCCTAGTTAGGCCATCTTGTTAAATGGCAACTCCATATTTTCAGCTGCTCAGGCCAAGACCTTGGCATCCTCACTGACTCATCCCTTTCTCGCACATTCCATTTCAACTCCATTAACAAGGCCTATTTGTTTTACTTGTGGCACATCAGCACCATGAGGACATAGAATTAGTTTGTTTTGTTTGCTGCTGTATCCCCAGCATCTAGAGAAGGGCATTGTAGGTGCTTTATAAATACCTGCTGAATGAATGAATGAATGAAAGTGGGTAGCAGATTGCAAATGAGCCATTCATGGACCCAGCAGCCTGGGCTCTACTCTTGCCTCTCCTCTTATTGGTTATGTAATTTGGGCAAGTTACTTCATCTTACTTCATCTCTTTGGACTTCAGTTTCCTTACCTGTAAAGTAAGGGTAGTCATTGTACCTCCCTTACAGATTTGGAGAAAAGATTAAATGAGTGTAAGGTATTTAGTTCATAGCACATTGTTCTAATGTTTTAATTGTTTTACTTAACCATTTTCCAGGTGTGTGGTAGCTACGCCATTCTCAGTATAGTTCTTGACAGCCTGCATCAGCATCACCTGGGGTCATAGCCCAGAAATCTGAGAAGGTCCGGAATTTTTACATGCTCTCCAGATGGATTTTTGCATATTAAAGTGTTAGAATTGTATGTTAGCAGGAGGAGTAATGGACAACAGCTAGAGAATGGCAGGCCTGAGCATGGGGCTGGGTCAGGATGAGGGGACCCTATTTATGGGGAATCAGAGGGAGGGGTCTTGCTGTCTCAGCAGTGTGTGTGGTGTGTGCTGTGTCCAGTGGTGATGAATGGAACTGGGAAATGTGCATTGAGAAGTAAACTGGTCCTCTGGCTACTGCTGAGTTTAAAATGATCTTGTTGTGAGTCGAGAGTTGATAGCCATGCCTGATCATTTTCTTGTCTTTGGCAGTGGGATGTTCTATGATGGGAACCACACATACCTCATTGAGCCAGAAGAAAATGACACTTCTCAAGTAAGTGCTCCTTCTATTTGTCATGGCAAATGGAAACCTTTATCCTGAGAGCTTTTTTTCTGTTCTTTTATTTTCTCTTCTATTTTCATATTTCTTAAGATTAGGATAGTAAGTATATACATATAGATGCTCCTTGATTTACAGTGGTGCTCCGTCCCAATGAACCCATCATAAGTCAAAAATATCTCAAGTCAGAAATGCATTTAATATCCCAGTAAACCCATCTAAAATCAAAAAATTGTTAAGTTGAACCATCATAAGTCCAGATGCTTCTTGGCCTTCAGTGGGGTTAAATCCTGATAAACCCATCATAAAGTCTAAAAATTGTAAGTCGGGGACTGTTGGTATATTTTAAATTAAATATTGAATAAGTCAGAACCACAAGTGGTTTTTTGAAATGTCTTTTGTTTCTTTCTCTTTTATATTGGAGATATAATATTTTACCTCTGAAGAGTTCTGAAGCCTCCATTTCCACCTCCACCCTACTGTGCTGTGATCTGTCTTAGTCTGACTGAGTTACCGTAACAAAATACTTAAACCACAGAAATTCATTGTATCACAGTTCTGAGGACTGGAAGTCCAAGATCAAGGTGCTGGCAGGGTTGGTATCTGGCGAGGGCTTTCTCCTTGAGTTGCAGACAGCTACCTTCACACTGTGTTGTCACATGGCAGAGAGAGAACTTTGGTTGTCTTCTCTTCTTATAAGGGTACCAGCCATACTGAATGAGGGTCCCACCCTTATGACCTCATTTAACCTTTATCACCTCCTTACAGGCCCTGTCTCCAGAAAAAGTCACACTAAGGGTTAGAGCTTCAACATATGAATTTTGGGGAAATACAAACATTCATAGTAAATCAAATCCCCACATACTTGATTTTTCACCCCTCCTCTCTTTTCCAGATTCCAGATTTTTCTCTATTGTTTATTGCTTTTAAGGCCCTATGCAAATGAAGATTAGAGAAACCTAGGTCTTCTTAATTCTCTTTCTCACTTTAGTTGAAACATTCCTTTTCCACAGATTAGAAAAGGTTTGAGGCTGGGCACGGTGGCTTACACCTAATCCTAGCACTCTGGGAGGCCGAGGTGAGAGGATTGCTTGAGGCCAGGAGTTCAAGACCAGCCTGAGCAAGATTGAGACCCCTGTCTCTACAAAAAATAGAAAAATTAGCCAGGCATGGGGCATGGTGTCATGTACCTATAGTCCCAGCTACTTGGGAGACTGAGGCAGGAGGATCACTTGAGCCTAGGAGTTTCAGGTTGCAGTGAGCTATGATGACGCCACTGTACTCTAGCCTGGGCAACAGATGGAGACCCTATCTCAAAAAAGTAAAAAATAAGAAAAAGATCAAATTAATATTATAGATTACAGAAAAACAAAGCATGATACACTTTTATTCTAACTGTGCACATACAAATGTTTTTCCTCTTATCATGCAACATTGGTCAAACACTTAGGCAAGTAATTTAAGGGAATGCACTTCGTTTTGTCACCTATAAACAATTTTGTCTGGGAATCTGTTATTGTGCATTATTTTCTGAGTACCCACTGTCCTGTCACTTTGCTTGACAGTGTGATTTTTTTTACAATAATATCATGAAACTTAACTATTTATGATATTCTAATTGTTTTTTAGTGATTGGATGAAGCCAGATGAAATTCTATTATTTAAATATTTATTAATTCTTCTTAGAAGAAAAATATGACTTTTTATCTGTTGCCGTTTAATAGAATTTTGTATGACACTTGAAATTTGGAGCAGGGTCTACTTTGGGCATCTGCGTCTATCAGACATCCTGCTTCTCAATAACAGGAAGATTGTTAGTGCTGTAGTCTTTGCCTACCAAAGCTATGTGACTTTTAAAAGCAGGCAGGAATCTGCGAAAGGAACCACTCATAAAAAACATTAACCCATTTTCCCAGATGTCTTACTTCTCCTGGGGGGAATAGATCCATTCATTTATTTTCCATTACCGCAGGCTTTGGCTTCTCTGTCTGTGAAGGCATTTTGCTTCTAATTGGATATTGCTCTGGTGCTGGGAGAATACAGGAGTGAGTAGGAGGGGTTGTGACATGGCTCACTGCCTCTCTGAACCCAGGAGAGTACATAGTCAAGCTACAGTTCTCTTAAGGTCTCCAGCTATGATTACCTGAGGCTGGAGATATCTGGTTGTACGTGCTTAATCCCTGTTGCTTGTGTCATTTCAGGAGGATTTCCATTTTCATTCGGTTTACAAATCCAGACTGTTTGAATTTCCCTTGGATGATCTTCCATCTGGTATGATGTTCATATAGTGATTTTTCTTTAAAGGACAACTTCAACAATTCCGTTAGTGCTTTAGAACTAATCTATATATAGAATATTATTAGCCCACATCTGCTCACGGCAATTTTAGAGGGAAAGCCAAGTCACATGAAGAGGGAGAATAAAATGCAAACTGGCCTCATCTTTATAGTGGGTGAGTTTGGAAATATGTGGCTTAAGCACATTGAAAGAAAACTTTAATAAATTTTAAGATTAAAAGTAAGGTACTAGAGAAACAATGTTAGAGTAAGAATTGGTCTATATAGAGAAAATATGTAAAAATTCATCTTGGTGAAATAAATTGAGGGATGAACTCAATCATTTTCTCATTTGTTGTTTTCCTCATCTTTTTTGCTTCGACATTTTAAGAAAGAACTATTCTAGATTAACCTTTGTTGTTATTATGAGCTATTTGTGAAATTAGTCTTTTTCTCTCCTGTATATTTACGGGTCAGTTTATATATAGACATCGATTTGAGGGTTGCATCCAAGTCTTCACATGACAAGAAGAGCAGTGCGCTAATACTTTGGCCTCCTTAGTGGAGCTGTGATTATGCAGGGTGCATTTGTCTTTGACTTTACTGGACTCACTCATTTTCTCCTTCTGAAGACAGGGCACACTGAATATCTGGTGTGGAGATGCTTCCTCCCCTATTTAGTGAGCCTTGATTATACTCATTTCGAATCTCATTTTCATCTTCGCAACAGCTCTGTAAGATTGATATTATTTCCGTTTTGTGTGTGGGGAAACAGAAGCTCAGCTCGTGTGTGAGACCTTTTCCAAGGTCCCACAGCCAGTAAGGGACAAAGTTGAGTTTTGGATTATGACACTGTGAAAATACACTCTGGGAGAGAGGAACCAAGGGGAAATGGAACAATTGCCAGCCTGAGAGCAAATCCTAAACTACTACTTAGAAAATCACTTAGAAGTTTACATTGTCTCTTCATCAGAAAATGAAATAAGTATTTTCTAATGTCCCTTCCTCTCTGAAATAAGTTTGTAACTTTCTTGTTCTCCTGCAGTTCCCCAAAAGAGAAGTGAATGCCCTCTTCCTCTCTCTCTTGCTGCCAACGGGATAGAAGATTTTGTAGAATTCACTATTTTGAAAAATCTGCAAATGGGCATATAGGTGCTTTTACTCCACAGACTTTTTATATTGTTCCTACAGTGACCTTATGAAACTTTTTACAATCCCTATTATGGGAAGAAAATAAATCATGACTAGCTGCCTGGGAATAAAGCTACAATTTAATAAGTATTGCTGGAAGCATTCAACATTAATTAATATTTAAAGTAATAAAGAACCCCCTAAAGACTCGATTGTAG